TGTCCGTAGAGGGACATCCTGTGGTCTTGATGCTCTGTCCGTAGATGGACATCCTGTGGTCTTGATGCTCTGTCCATAGAGGGACGTCCTGTGGTCTTGATGCTCTGTCCATAGAGGGACGTCCTGTGATCTTGATGCTCTGTCCATAGAGTAATGTCTCGTGGTCTTGATGCTCTGTCCATAGAGGGACGTCCTGTGGTCTTGATGCTCTGTCCATAGAGGGACGTCCTGTGGTCTTGATGCTCTGTCCATAGAGGGACGTCCTGTGGTCTTGATGCTCTGTCCGTAGAGGGACGTCCTGTGGTCTTGATGCTCTGTCCGTAGAGGGACATCCTGTGGCCTTGATGCTCTGTCCATAGAGGGACGTCCTGTGGTCTTGATGCTCTGTCCGTAGAGGGACATCCTGTGGCCTTGATGCTCTGTCCATAGAGGGACATCCTGTGGTCTTGATGCTCTGTCCGTAGAGGGACATCCTGTGGTCTTGATGCTCTGTCTTAGAGGGACATCCTGTGGTCTTGATGCTCTGTCCATAGAGGGACATCCTGTGGTCTTGATGCTCTGTCCATAGAGGAATGTCCTGTGGTCTTGATGCTCTGTCCATAGAGGGACATCCTGTGGTCTTGATGCTCTGTCCATTGAGGGACATCCTGTGGTCTTGATGCTGTGTCTTAGAGGGACATCCTGTGGTCTTGATGCTCTGTCCGTAGAGGGACATCCTGTGGTCTTGATGCTCTGTCCGTAGATGGACATCCTGTGGTCTTGATGCTCTGTCCATAGAGGGACGTCCTGTGGTCTTGATGCTCTGTCCATAGAGGGACGTCCTGTGATCTTGATGCTCTGTCCATAGAGTAATGTCTCGTGGTCTTGATGCTCTGTCCATAGAGGGACGTCCTGTGGTCTTGATGCTCTGTCCATTGAGGGACATCCTGTGGTCTTGATGCTCTGTCCATAGAGGGACGTCCTGTGGTCTTGATGCTCTGTCCATAGAGTAATATCTCGTGGTCTTGATGTGCTGTCCGTAGAGGGAAGCCCGGTGGCTTTGCTGCTCTGTCCATAGAGGGACATCCTGTGGTCTTGATGCTCTGTCCATAGAGGGACATCCTGTGGTCTTGATGCTCTGTCCATAGAGGGACATCCTGTGGTCTTGATGCTCTGTCTTAGAGGGACATCCTGTGGTCTTGATGCTCTGTCCGTAGAGGGACATCCTGTGGTCTTGATGCTCTGTCCGTAGATGGACATCCTGTGGTCTTGATGCTCTGTCCATAGAGGGACGTCCTGTGGTCTTGATGCTCTGTCCATAGAGGGACATCCTGTGATCTTGATGCTCTGTCCATAGAGTAATGTCTCGTGGTCTTGATGCTCTGTCCATAGAGGGACGTCCTGTTGTCTTGATGCTCTGTCCATAGAGGGACGTCCTGTGGTCTTGATGCTCTGTCCATAGAGGGACGTCCTGTGGTCTTGATGCTCTGTCCATAGAGTAATATCTCGTGGTCTTGATGTGCTGTCCGTAGAGGGAAGCCCGGTGGCTTTGCTGCTCTGTCTGTAGAGGGACATCCTGTGGTCTTGATGCTCTGTCCATAGAGGGACATCCTGTGGTCTTGATGCTCTGTCCATAGAGGGACATCCTGTGGTCTTGATGCTCTGTCCATAGAGGGACATCCTGTGGTCTTGATGCTCTGTCCTGTGCTCTCAGTCGGGATAAGCTATGTCTTTACAATTCCATGTGTTTGTGTTGTGCAGGTTCTGGAGGACGAGGCCCGAGAACAGGGCAGAGGAATTCACGTCATAGTACTGAACCAAGCCTCGGTATGTCGCAGTCATGCGGTAACCTCTGACAGCTTTATCATATTGCAATTTTTTTAAGTGATTTGACTTTTTTTTTTTGCCCTGCAGGGTCATGTGATGGCGAAGAGAGTTTTTTGACACATATTCCCCACATGAAGATGAAGCAATGGTTCTGTTCTTAAACATGGTGGCCCGTGGTCGTATCCTTATCTTTACAGTCAAGGTCAGTTCTGAGTAATGGGTAGGGGGGCTTCCTTGTTGGGGAACTGGAAACCATCGCTTGGGGGAAAGGGCTTTCTTATTTGGAAATTGGAAACCATTGTTTGGGGTGAGGAGGAGCTCTCAATTTGGAGACTGGTAACTATTGCTTGGAGGGAGGGGTGGAGGGGCTTCCATTTTGGGGACATTAAACTATGGCTTGGGGGAGGAGGGGAGGAGATTTCATTAGTTGGAGACTGGAAACCATCTTTTTAGGAGGAAGGGTTCCCTATTAGGGGACTGGAAACCATGGCCTGGGAAGGAGGATGGGGGTTGTTCTTTAGGAAACTGGATGATAGCCGATTAACAGTACAGAGGACAACCGTCTGGGATTTTCCATTTGTTATGTATTTCTTCTTTGTGTTCCAGGATGAAGGATCCTTTCATCTGAAAGACACAGCGAAGAACCTGCTGAAGAGTTTGGGCAGTCAGGTGGCTCTGACGTTGGGCTGGAGGGACATGTGGACTTTTGTGGTGAAGAAAGGAGGTGAATTGTTTGTTTGTCCCCAAATTCTTGTCATAGCGCCTGCATTGTCCTCTGTGGGGTACATGATATCGTTATTCCTTCAGGGCAAATCTATGGAGAAAAACACTCAAAGTCACCAGCACTGTCCACGTGGGGAGATCCCGTTCTGCTGAAGACCGATATTCAACTTGTTCCCCCAGAAGGTGAGCTGTGTGCGGTCTGCCCCTCCTCCAGAGAGTGAGCTGTGTGTGGTCTGCCCCTCCTCCAGAGAGTGAGCTGTGTGTGGTCTGCCCCTCCTACAGAGAGTGAGCTGTGTGCGGTCTGCCCCTCCTACAGAAGGTGAGCTGTGTGTGGTCTGCCCCTCCTACAGAAGGTGAGCTGTGTGCAGTCTGCCCCTCCCCAGACAGTGAGCTGTGTGCGGTCTGCCCCTCCTACAGAAGGTGAGCTGTGTGCAGTCTGCCCCTCCCCAGACAGTGAGCTGTGTGCGGTCTGCCCCTCCTACAGAAGGTGAGCTGTGTGTGGTCTGCCCCTCCTACAGAGAGTGAACTGTGTGTGGTCTGCCCCTCCCCAGACAGTGAGCTGTGTGTGGTCTGCCCCTCCTACAGAGAGTGAGCTGTGTGTGGTCTGCCCCTCCTACAGAAGGTGAGCTGTGTGCAGTCTGCCCCTCCCCAGACAGTGAGCTGTGTGCGGTCTTCCCCAGAAGGTGAGCTGTGTGCGGTCTGCCTCTTCTTCAGAGAGTGAGCTGTGTGTTGTCTGCCTCTCCTCCAGAGAGTGAGCTGTGTGTGGTCTGCCCCTCCCCCAGACAGTGAGCTGTGTGTGGTCTGCCCCTCCTCCAGAAGGTGAGCTGTGTGCGGTCTGCCCCTCCTCCAGAGAGTGAGCTGTGTGTGGTCTGCCCCTCCTACAGAAGGTGAGCTGTGTGTGGTCTGCCCCTCCCCCAGACAGTGAGCTGTGTGTGGTCTGCCCCTCCCCCAGACAGTGAGCTGTGTGTGGTCTGCCCCTCCCCCAGACAGTGAGCTGTGTGTGGTCTGCCCCTCCCCCAGAAGGTGAGCTGTGTGCGTTCTGCCCCTCCCCAGACAGTAAGCTGTGTGCGGTCTTCCCCAGAAGGTGAGCTGTGTGCGGTCTGCCTCTTCTCTAGAGAGTGAGCTGTGTGCTGTCTGCCCTTCTCCCAGAAATTAGCTGTGTGTGGTCTGCTCCTCTCTCAGAAGGTGAGCTGTGTGCATTCTGCCCCTCCCCCACAAGGTGAGCTGTGTGCATTCTGCCCCTCCCCCACAAGGTGAGCTGTGTGCGTTCTGCCCCTCCCTCAGAAGGTGAGCTGTGTGCGTTCTGCCCCTCCCTCAGAAGGTGAGCTGTGTGCATTCTGCCCCTCCCCCACAAGGTGAGCTGTGTGCATTCTGCCCCTCCCCCACAAGGTGAGCTGTGTGTGTTCTGCCCCTCCCTCAGAAGGTGAGCTGTGTGCGTTCTGCCCCTCCCTCAGAAGGTGAGCTGTATGCGTTCTGCCCCTCCCTCAGAAAGCTGTATGCGGTCTGCCCCTCTCCCAGAAGGTGAGCTGTATGCGTTTTGCCCCTCCCCCAGAAGGTGAGCTGTGTGCGTTCTGCCCCTCCCCCACAAGGTGAGCTGTGTGTGGTCTGCTCATCTTCCAGTAGGTGGTCTGTATTCGGTCTACCCCTCCCTCAGAAGGTGAGCTGTGTGCGGTCTGCCCCTCCTCCAGAAGGTGAGCTGTGTGCGGTCTGCCCCTCCTCCAGAAGGTGAGCTGTGTGCGGTCTGCCCCTCCTCTAGAGAGCGAGCTGTGTGTGAATCCCATGTGGCCGGTCTGCAAAAACTGCCTTGTTATTGGTGATCGTGTGATTGTTGAAGTTTCCTTTCTGGGTTATTCTTGGATGGCTGCTTTGTCTCACCCTGAGATGAGGGCATCTCTGGGGAGGACCAATCAGCAGCCTGGCAGGGACTATTTCACAGTAATCCAGCAGAAGAGTCTCCGTGCTCCACCTGAACGTGTGAAATGTCTCTGCAGATGCTGAATGTCATTGGCCGGACACCGAGCTGAACAGACGGAGGAAGCGATTCTGCAGCAAAGTGGAGGGGTACGGCAGTGTGTGCAGCTGTAAGGACCCCACCCCCATCGAATTCAACCCCATCCCTGTGAGTATAGCAGGCGGCCATTTTCCTGAAGACCAAATGCTATGCAATGGAGAGGTCCTTTATACCGATCAGTGAATACATGGAGGGTGTCTGTCAGTGAATACGTGGTGGATATCTGCCCATACATACACAGATATGGTGTCCTGCTTTGCAGCACTTCATGATGGTTGTGCTTTACTGCTCCTGCTTAGCGTTTGTCTTCTTGTGTGCCTGATATCTTATTTCAGTGGTTGGTAAAGCTGTAAAACAGTAACAGTTATGTAGAGCTTGTGGTCATGTCCTGTCATGGACTTCCAAATGAACCCGATGAAAATCACTCTGCGGGTGGGCCTGTTATCACCACTCTACTTGACATACACTATATTGCCAAAAGTATTGTCCCCGCCCTCCATATCATGTGATTCAGGTGTTCCAATCCCCTCCCAATCATGTGATTCAGGTGTTCCAATCCCCTCCATGGACACAGGTGTATACAATCAAGCCCCTAGGCATGCAGACGGCTTCTACAAACATTGGTGAAAGAATGGGTCGCTCTCAGGAGCTCAGTGACTCCAAGCGTGGTCCCGTGATAGGTGGCCACCTGGGCAATAAGTCCATCCGTGACATTTCCTGGCTACTAAATATTCCACGCTCAACTGTTAGTGGGATTATAACAAAGTGGAAGCAACTGGGAACAACAGCCACTCAGCCACCAAGTGGTAGGCCACGTCACATGACAGGGCAGGGTCAGCGCATGCTGAAGCGCACACAGTGCGCAGAAGTCGCCAACTGTCTGCAGAGTCAATAGCTAAAGACCTCCAAACTTGGTGTGGCCTTCAGATGAGCCCAACAACAGTGCGTAGAGAGCTTCATGGAATGGGTTTAAATGGCCGAGCAGCTGCATCCAAGCCTTCCATTACCAAGTGCAATGCAAAGCGTCGGATGCCGTGGTGTAAAGCACGCTGCCACTGGACTCTAGAGCAGAGGAGATGTGTTCTCTGGAGTGACCAATCACGCTTCCCTGTCTGGCAATCCGATGGACGTGTCTGGGTTTGGTGGTGGCCAGGAGAACGGTACTTGCCTGACTGCATTGTGCTAAGTGTAAAGTTTGGTGGAGGGGGGGTTATGGTGTGGGGGTGTTTTTCAGGGGGTGGGCTTGGCCCCCTAGTTCCAGTGAAGGGAACTCTTAAGGCGACATTTTGGACAATTTCATGCTCCCAACTTTGTGGGAAGAGTTTGGGGATGGCCCCTTCCTGTTCCAACATGACTGCGCACCAGTGCACAAAGCAAGGTCCATAAAGACATGGAGGAGCCAGTTTGGGGTGGAGGAACTTGACTGTCCTGCACAGAGTCCTGACCTCAACCCCATAGAACACCTTTGGGATGAATTAGAGCGGAGACTGCGAGCCAGGCCTCCTCCCCCGACATCAGTGCCTGACCTGACAAATGTGCTTCTGGAAGAATGGTCCAACCTTCCCATAGACACCCTCCTAAACCTTGTGGACGGCCTTCCCAGAGGAGTTGAAGCTGTTATAGCTGCAAAGGGAGGGGCCAACTCAATATTGAACCCTACGGACTAAGACTGGGAGGCCATTAAAGGTCATGTGCGTGGAAAGGGCGGGGCCAACTCAATATTGAACCCTACGGACTAAGACTGGGGGGCCATTACAGGTCATGTGCAAGGAAAGGGCGGGGCCAACTCAATATTAAACCCTACGGACTAAGACTGGGGGGCCATTACAGGTCATGTGCAAGGAAAGGGCAGGGCCAACTCAATATTGAACCCTACGGACTGAGACTGGGGGGCCATTAAAGGTCATGTGTATGGAAAGGGCGGGGCCAACTCAATATTGAACCCTACGGACTAAGACTGGGGGGGCCATTAAAGGTCATGTGTGTGGAAAGGGTGGGGCCAACTCAATATTGAACCCTACGGACTAAGACTGGGGGGGCCATTAAAGGTCATGTGTGTGGAAAGGGCAGCGGCCCAACACTGCCGGCAATATAGTGTATGTAGAAATCTGGGCAAGTCGGATGGGGGTGGTGGTGTCTGGATAGATTTGGGAGGCCCAGTCCTCCTAATAGCTTACTTCAGCTAAAAGATGTCTAAGTCGGGGTTTGTGATTTGTCTGTGTCGGGTTCTGACAACATGTGCGGCACGGCTATCGGCAGATCTCTAAATGAGGCCCCTAAAGGTGATATGATAATCTCTAGGGGCCAGTTTGAGTGCCCCAAGTTAAAATAGAACTTTAGGCAAAACTTCTTTTCTTTTAATTTTGGATAGAGTAAGGGAGTGCTACAACCCATGTAATGTTTTTTTTTTTTTTTTTTTGCCATCTGTATCCCATTGGGGAGATTTCCCTTCACTTCCTGTCCCATATTCAAAACAGGAAGTGGGAGGAAATCCCTGCAAATAATGGAATTCCTTGGGGACCCCCCAGGGTCACTGGAATTGCTGTCCTCCTTGGAAGATTTCCCCTCTATTATTTTCTTGGGACAACCCAAAATTTGAAGGTTTCTTTTACTTTTAATGACAATGGAAAACAAATAGAGAGGGTGAATGTTCCTAACGGGGACACAGACAGCGAAAAAAATCTGACTGGGGGTCTAATCCATTTCTTTAAATATGAATATTCAAAACATTCTCAAAGTCCTCAGAATTAATTCAAAATATTGTAGCAAGCAGAACATGGAAGGAGAATATCAGCGGGTATCCTCAAGGTGACGTCCAGGGACCATCCAGGGACCAAAGTGTCCTCAGCTCTTCTCACCCTGTTTGTCATGAATTATGCTGTTGCCAGGCTCCATCAGAGATGGGTTTGGGTTCGATATCATTGGGGCTATTGCTTCAAGGGCACTATCCATATGGTGGTGCAGACTCTACGGTCCCAAACTAACGGCACTATCAATAAAGCCGGCTGATATCCAGCCAAAGAGCCTGGGCAGCAAAGTCAATATGATAATGTAGACAGGGCACATCCAGGCAGAAGATGTCTGCTGGTTAAAAATAAAATCAATAATTATTCATTATATCTCAGCTGTGGATAACCCAGTCAGTGGGAGGAATAGTGCCCCATCATTGGTGTCAGTGGGAAGAATAGTGCCCCATCATTGGTGTCAGTGGGGGGAATAGTGCCCCATCATTGGTGTCAGTGGGAGGAATAGTGCCCCATCATTGGTGTCAGTGGAAGGAATAGTGGCCATCTTTGGTATCAGTGGGAGGAATAGTGCCCCATCATTGGTGTCAGTGGGAGGAATAGTGCCCCATCATTGGTATCAGTGGGAGGAATAGTGCCCCATCATTGGTGTCAGTGGGAGGAATAGTGCCCCATCATTGGTGTCAGTGGGAGGAATAGAGCCCCATCATTGGTGTCAGTGGGAGGAATAGTGCCCCATCATTGGTGTCAGTGGGAGGAATAGTGCCCCATCATTGGTGTCAGTGGGAGGAATAGTGCCCCATCATTGCTGTCAGTGGGAGAAATAGTGCCCATCATTGGTGTCAGTAGGAGGAATAGTGCCCTATCATTGGTGTCAGTGGGAGGAATAGTGCCCCATCATTGGTGTCAGTGGGAGGAATAGTGCCCCATTGTTGGTATCAGTGGGAGGAATAGTGCACCATCATTGGTATCAGTGGGGGAATAGTGCACCATCATTGGTATCAGTGGGAGGAATAGTGCCCCATCATTGGTGTCAGTGGGAGGAATAGTGCCCCATTGTTGGTATCAGTGGAAGGAAATAGTGCCCCATCATTGGTGTCAGTGGGAGGAATAGTGCCCCATCATTGGTGTCAGTGGGAGGAATAGTGCCCCATCATTGGTATCAGTGGGAGGAATAGTGCCCCATCATTGGTGTCCGTGGGAGGAATAGTGCCCCATCATTGGTGTCAGTGGGAGGAATAGTGCCCCATCATTGGTGTCAGTGGGAGGAATAGTGTCCTATCATTGGTATCAGTGGGAGGAGCCTAAGACCTCAGAATATCGCTTACTCTGTGCTTTCCCTTTAAAACAGCTAAAAGACAACAAGGTGTGGAACGTTCCGGTAGCAGTGATTGCTGGGAACAGACCCAATTACCTGTACAGGTGAGTGTATGTGTGAGGGAGTTATTACATGTACAGGTGAGCTGTATGTAGAGGGGAGTTATTACATGTACAGGTGAGCTGTATGTGGACAGGAGTTATTACATGTACAGGTGAGCTGTATGTGGAGGGGTGTTATTACATGTACAGGGGAGCTGTATGTGGAGGGGGTGTTCTTACCTGTACAGGTGAGCTGTATGTAGAAGGGTGTTATTACCTGTACAGGTGAGCTGTATGTGTAGGGGTGTTATTACCTGTACAGGTGAGCTGTATGTGGAGGGGTGTTATTACATGTACAGGTGAGCTGTATGTGGAGGGGTGTTATTACCTGTACAGGTGAGCTGTATGTGGAGGGGTGTTATTACCTGTACAAGTGAGCTGTATGTGGAGGGGAGTTATTACCTGTACAGGTGAGTTGTATGTGGAGGGATGTTATTACCTTTACAATGAGCTGTATGTGGAGGGATGTTATTACCTGTACAGGTGAGCTGTATGTGGAGGGGTGTTATTACATGTACAGGGGAGCTGTATGTGGAGGGATGTTATTACCTATACAGGTGAGCTGTATGTGTAGGGGGTGTTATTACCTGTACAGGTGAGCTGTATGTAGAAGGGTGTTATTACCTGTACAGGTGAGCTGTATGTGGAGGGGTGTTATTACCTGTACAGGTGAGCTGTATGTGGAGGGGGTGTTATTACCTGTACAGGTGAGCTGTATGTGGAGGGGTGTTATTACCTGTACAGGTGAGCTGTATGTGGAAGTGTGTTATTACCTGTAAAGGTGAATTGTATGTAGAGGGATGTTATTACCTGTACAGGTGAGCTGTATGTGGAGGGATGTTATTACCTATACAGGTGAGCTGTATGTAGAAGGGTGTTATTACCTGTACAGGTGAGCTGTATGTGGAGGGGAGTTATTACATGTACAGGTGAGCTGTATGTGGAGGGGAGTTATTACATGTACAGGTGAGCTGTATGTGGAGGGGTGTTCTTACCTGTACAGATGAGCTGTATGTGGAGGGGAGTTATTACCTGTACAGGTGAGCTGTATGTGGAGGGGTGTTATTACCTGTGCAGGTGAGCTGTATGTGGAGGGGTGTTATTACCTGTGCAGGTGAGCTGTATGTGGAGGGGAGTTATTACCTGTACAGGTGAGCTGTATGTGGAGGGGTGTTATTACCTGTACAGGTGAGCTGTATGTGGAGGGGGGTGTTATTACCTGTGCAGGTGAGCTGTATGTGGAGGGGTGTTATTACCTGTGCAGGTGAGCTGTATGTGGAGGGGAGTTATTACCTGTACAGGTGAGCTGTATGTGGAGGGGTGTTATTACCTGTGCAGGTGAGCTGTATGTGGAGGGGAGTTATTACCTGTACAGGTGGGTTGTATGTGGAGGGGTGTTATTACCTGTACAGGTGAGCTGTATGTGGAGGGGTGTTATTACCTGTACAGGTGAGCTGTATGTAGAAGGGTGTTATTACCTGTACAGGTGGGTTGTATGTGGAGGGGTGTTATTACCTGTACAGGTGAGCTGTATGTGTAGGGGTGTTATTACCTGTACAGGTGAGCTGTATGTGGAGGGGTGTTATTACCTGTGCAGGTGAGCTGTATGTGGAGGGATGTTATTACCTGTACAGGTGGGTTGTATGTGGAGGGGTGTTATTACCTGTACAGGTGAGCTGTATGTGGAGGGTGTTATTACCTGTACAGGTGAGCTGTATGTGGAGGGGTGTTATTACCTGTACAGGTGAGCTGTATGTGGAGGGGTATTATTACCTGTACAGGTGAGCTGTATGTGGAGGGGTATTATTACCTGTACAGGTGAGCTGTATGTGGAGGGGAGTTATTACCTGTACAGGTGAGCTGTATGTGGAGGGGTGTTATTACCTGTACAGGTGAGCTGTAT